TGTATTTTCCCTCTCTTTCAGCTGGGTATGAATTTCGAGACAGCCAGATCGCAGTCTTCTATTCTTCATGCTTTTCCGTTTAACTCAGAGAAGAAACGTGGTGGTGTTGCTGTAAAAACGGTAACGTTCTCCTGCCAAAATAAAATGCTATATGTTTTTTTTTTCTTTTTGCGCAAAGACACTATGAATTACGAGGATTAAATCATATTCTTCATTCCTTTCTTGTATGGGATTTTTTACTCTGTATCTGTAACGTTGTGAAAGAAGGTCTACTATATCGATGCAGTTAAAGTGATTTGGCTCTCAGTTTTTTATAGCATAATGCAATTTATTATTTGACTTTTTTCTATTTCCGATATTACTTTTCAGGCTGATGGTGAAGTTCATGTTCACTGGAAAGGAGCATCTGAAATTGTCCTTGCATCTTGCAGAAGCTACATCGATGAGGATGGTAATGTGGCACCAATGACCGAAGACAAGGTTTGTGAAATGTTTAATTTATTAACCTCTTAATTGGACGTATCTGTATGTTTCTGCAGTTTACCCTATGGTTGCTGCGTTGCCCAATCCAATTTCTTTGATGTTTCCAGGCACAGTATTTCAGAAATGGTATCGAAGATATGGCTGGAAGAACCCTACGATGTGTCGCACTGGCCTTTAAACACTATGAAGCTGAAAAGGTCCCAACAGGGGAAGACCTCTCAAAGTGGGTACTCCCAGAAGACGACCTTATTTTGCTAGCTATAGTAGGCATAAAGGTGAGGATTGATTTGATTTATTTCTGTATATTTTTCTTTATCTGGAAATCAGTTAAGTATATAACTTGTCGTCGTGTGGCTCTCATCCTTCCGAAATGTCTTCAGTTTTTCCTCTTAAGGCAGTTTTACCATTTTCAGACAACAACCCACCTGTCATGTTCTGCAATATTCTTGTCATGTTCTGCAATATTCTTGTCATGTTCTGCAATATTCTTGGTTGTGTTTTTTAAATAAGTTGTTTGAAATGTGCACAGGATCCATGTAGACCAGGAGTCAAAGATTCAGTTCAGTTGTGTCAGAATGCTGGTGTCAAGGTACTTTTTTTATTAACAGGCTCATTGGTATTGTTTCCTCGTTTTAGCCCGCTAGTAACGCCTGCATGATTCACTTTATGGTATTTGTTGATATTCAGGTCCGTATGGTCACTGGTGACAACGTCCAAACTGCCAGGGCTATTGCTTTGGAGTGTGGAATATTAACGTCAGATGCTGATGCCTCCGAGCCTACTCTCATTGAAGGAAAATCATTCCGTGCCTTGACTGATGCAGAAAGGGACAAGATTAGTGACAAAATATCGGTAATGCTCATAACGCCACTTTTCAGTTCTTAAGTCTGAATGGGTTGTGGTAGGTGATTTGGATGATGTCTTTGTCGCATTCTATGTATAATTTTGGCCCGTCTTTGGGTTCTATTCAATTCAGTTATCGTCCCTGAGCATCAGATGCATCAATATGATACAGTAGTAACATCCGAACTAGAAATTGAATTGTTTGCTTCACGTGTGAAGGTTATGGGCCGCTCATCGCCTAATGACAAGCTTCTGCTGGTACAATCTCTGAGAAGACGTGGGCATGTTGTTGCTGTGACTGGAGATGGGACAAATGACGCTCCTGCACTGCACGAGGTAAAAAGTTGAAGAAGAGTTTTGCTAAATTTTTAAACTGGTTATGCCGAAGCCTACAACTATTGAAAGTTCTATTTGCCAAGAATTTTTTTTCTCTATGCTTTATTCAGAGCCCTCAATTTCTGATTGGTGTTGAATTTTTAATTGGATTTTCAGGCGGATATTGGTCTTGCTATGGGAATAGCAGGAACAGAAGTGGCCAAGGAAAGTTCGGACATCATCATCTTGGATGATAACTTTGCTTCAGTTGTCAAGGTTTTGTTGAAATTCACTTCATTACCAATTTTTCTGAATACATGTATATTTGGGGCAGAAACTAGAAAGTTTTTCTCTCAATTGAATCTGATTATTCAATATTCCAATCTTAAACTTGGGATGGTTTCTGTGATATAATAAGGTGGTTCGCTGGGGACGATCAGTCTACGCAAATATTCAGAAATTCATCCAGTTTCAGCTCACAGTCAATGTTGCCGCTCTTGTCATTAACGTTGTAGCTGCTATTTCAAGTGGTGACGTTCCACTTACCGCTGTGCAGGTTTGAGTTTCTGTTGCATTTGGCTCTCCCTCTCCAACTAAACACATATATAGTGTGTTCATACTTTGGCGTTTTTCTCTGAATACAGCTTCTGTGGGTTAATCTGATTATGGATACTCTCGGAGCATTGGCATTGGCTACTGAACCACCCACTGATCACCTCATGGGCAGGCCTCCCGTGGGCAGAAAGGAACCTCTTATTACCAACATCATGTGGAGGAACCTGTTGATTCAGGTAAAAAAAAAAAAAATCAATGATGAAAAACCCTCTTAGTATATTTGAAACCCACCCACATACTAATATGAAACATTCAGGCTATCTATCAAGTGAGTGTATTGCTAGTTCTCAATTTCCGAGGGGTAAGCATACTTGGCCTGGAGCATGAAGTTCCTGCACATGCCACAAGAGTGAAGAACACAATAATTTTCAACGCCTTTGTTCTCTGCCAAGTAAGTACAATTAAAAATCAAAAGGCTTGAGCATGTAAAGAGGCGCATATGTTTACTGAATTTGGTTTTGACAGGCATTCAACGAGTTCAATGCTCGAAAACCAGACGAGAAGAACATCTTCAAAGGCATTATCAAGAATCGTCTCTTCATGGGAATAATAGTCATTACTCTCGTCCTCCAGGTAAATAACAAATGATAATCTGGTCCATCAAGAAACGTATTGTATTATTCTTTCCAAATGAAAACTAAATCTTATTTTTTTTCGAATGTCAGGTTATCATTGTTGAGTTTCTCGGCAAATTCGCTTCCACGACTAAACTTAACTGGCAACAATGGCTAATATGTGTTGCCATCGGTGTCATCGGGTTAGTTTTATTATATATATATTTACATTTACGTTGACCGATAAGTATATATGAATGTATGTTGCAATGGTTGGTGAAACATAACTAACGTTGTACTCAAAACCTGAGCAGTTGGCCTCTTGCTCTGGTGGGGAAATTCATTCCGGTGTCAAAAACTCCTCTCAGCAACAAGCTAAAATGCTGGGGCAAGAAAAAATCTTCTGGAGAAGGTATTAACAACAAACAACCAGCCTTGTGGTTTTATCTTTGATATCCTACAAATTGATTAAGGAATGTTCGGTTTAGTTAGCGTTTCCTTTTTAGCAGTTTTGGTATAATCTTAAGTATTAACAACATTTTATTTTTCGCCACAGGTTCACTCTGATTTGGAGGGCTGGTTTTCTATCACAAGACGCTCGTGAGTTTTAAGTGCTACTTTTCTAGGACTAACAAGAAGAAATACGTTTATGGGTTTTATTGATATATTTAGGAAACCCAACAGTACAGTTTTTCGGGGTTTGTCGCATGCAGCCAAAGTTTGGATTTTCAGGCTTTTCCGGTTTATTCATGTTATGATTGATTTTCTTTTGAAAGCTGTACTGGTGATGATTTTATAAGCAAGAAATATCAAAATTGGATATGGCAAATTTCGTAATATTACTATCCAGCTCGACAGTGCTTGTCATGTCACCTCTCAATCTGATAGTGGAAATCTTTGGATATTTTGTCAACTTTGATTATTGTGGAAGAAAAAATGGAACTGGCATAATGCGGATTTCTCTTTGAGATAAGATTTACTCTTTAAGGAAAAAGGGAAAAGTCGTCGAAACTAAAGTCACTCACAATCCTCAATCTTTAATATAGAAAATGTAAAACTTGACTCCCTTGACCTTCATTTCGTGCTTGAAATCTCATATCTTTCTAAAACTGAAAAAAATATAATCCAAAGCTGCAATACACAGCAGACACAACTACTATACAATATTTATACGGCAAACTAAATGCTAGTTCGTTAGCATCATAACAGCTGAACAATAATTACTGTGCAATAATCTTCATGTTTCAGTTAAACCAAGATTTGGTGATAACATGTTCGTGCCGATCATACTAAACTGAAACAGTAAAAACATACAGTAAATTATACTCCACTAGACAAGATTCAAGAAACCACCTAAAAGAAAACTAATCTGAGGCATTATAATAATTAGTACAAGGTGCCTAGAGAGACAAGAGCTGTCACTGGGCAGATGTTGTCTCCTACTTAATGCACAAAATTTTTCTGTAAGCTTTAAAACGTTATAAATATTTTGCTTCTAGCGTAAATATGTTATAATTAATTCTCTTGCGCATTTAATTATTACGCGTAACAATATAAAAGATCTATTGTCAGATAAGTGAGGACAACAATTTAGAGAAGAACCAAGAATGGTTATTGAACCTCATGTGTTGTTGTTCGTTCAATGTACGTTCCAACCATAGAGCGAGTTCCAACGTTTATCGCTTCGTTTTGATATCCCACGTGATACACAGTCAACGCCTCCAGAAAGCATAGCAAAGCAATGCTTTTCTTCCTTTCTAGCATGTTACTACTATTTTACAATTTCTAGTGTACATATATATATAAATCTGAACGGATAGATAACACAATGCATGTATTTTCAAAAAGAGGCAAATTTAAATTTTGCAAATATTCGGACAGCTCGTTCGAGACGTATGGCTACATGTTAAGCTTCCTTGTTCTTCACACAACGATATAAAAATGCGACTACGTTCAAACGATTAATCCGTTCACATACGTACAAAATCAGATAAAAGAAATGAAATAAAGGCTGAATTTGGAAGTATTAGCACATTTGATCCAAATCATTGTATAGAGATTTACAAAAGTACATGATCTAGTCTAAACAAACTTTGCATGATCTAGCTAGTATGTGATTTGAATTGTTACAACACACTTCACGACCACCGATAAACAGCAAAATTAATAAACAAAAAGGTTTATATCGTACGCACATCCCAAAATTTTAATAAATGTAACAACAAATACAAAGAGTCACGTACATGCATGTGCGTATAAATTATAACAAAACTAACTAAAATTTCTACAATACCACATGCTATAAATTAATTAATACGACATTGCTGCCACATCCACCTAAGCCTGACCTGGAATTAATCGCCTTTCTTTTCTTGGTAACTTTTCTTTTAAATCACCTTTGGTCGTATCGCCTTTGATTTACCATTACGGTTTGATTATAGCTTAAATTCCCAAAAGAACGTAGTAGAGTACTGTTACAGGCAACGCAACTAGCATTCCGAATATAACCCTGCAAAAACAATGTACATAAAGTCAAAATTAAAGAATGAAATTTGTTCTTACGTATTTTACAGGGAATACATATATAATTTGACGAGCAAAATAGTAACTTTTTTTTTTGACATCAGGTTAGATATTGAAAAAAAAATTAACTTACGCAGTGCTGAGAATATCAGGATGGACGTTATATTCCTTGGCAAAAACAAAAGGAACGATTCCTTGAGGAAGAGCAGCCTTCATAAATATATATTTTTCTTATCAATAATTATATATGAGATTATTTTAAGAATGTCAAACATCAGTATCAATTCTAAGTAAAATTCAAATATAAATTTAAATGATTAACCTGAACGATGGCGATATGGAGGAGATCGCCTCGAAGCCCAATTGCAATTGAGGTGGCTGCGATCACGGCCGGTCCGGTCAAGAACCTTACGGCCATCGCGAAGACAGCCACTGATTTTCCGCATGCTATTATCTTTGGTTGCAATGCCATAAATAGACCTATATAGCAACAACTATAATTAGTATAAATAAAATTCATAAACGTTTCTCTAAACATTACCAAAAAAACCTTCATACCAAGACTAAACATAGCCATGCCAAGACCAGCATCAGATAGTATCGAAATAGATCCACTCATGATGGTTGGCATCTTTATATTCCATCTGTCCCATAAAATGATCAACATATACTAAGTAAAACGGGAGGGGCCAAATTAAATAATGTTCATCAATATTTATTTTTTTCAAACTATGAGTATTGTTATTTATAATTTGGACTTACTTGTAGGAGACAAGGGACCAAGCAAGGCCAAAGAGACTAGAGTAAGTGTTAGGGTTTCGAATGAGTTTTCTCCAAACCATTATCAGTATTAGCCTCGTCATCACGCTCGCCGGCGGCATCTGCTGTTTCCTCGGACCGCCGGGACCACCGTCTTCCACGTCACTGCCTTTCTTCCCATTGTAAGGTGACGAATTTACCCCTGACTTTCCCTCGTTATTACCGTCTTGGTCCATCTCCACATGCCCTTTTCTTCCCGGTGTCATGTTCTCTATCAGACTGTGCATCGCTGTCATAGTCATGTTTTTAAGGATTAATATCTAACTGTTTTTTTTTAATTAATATCTAATTGTATATTACTAGATTATGACTGTTTTTAATTCGAAAATACTAACTTATATATTGACTATATATAGTTCAGTCTGACATCAAAAACATATATAAACTAATCCAATCGGAATAGAAATTCGTACTGATGACTTAAAAATAACGTACAAAAATAAGAACGAGTTCTAAAAAGATAAAATCATTAAAAGCAGTTTTTTTTTTGTTTTTGTTTATAAAATGATTTGGTTAAAAACAAATCGAATAAAATCATAATTATACACAAAAGGTACTGAAATTGTAACAAAAGGCACCAAACAAATTCAACATTATAAATTTGTTTTTTTTTCTTATTTTTAATAAATTTGAAAATCTAAAACGTGAAAACTAAAACCAAGGATGGAATTACACATTTCTACTGAAAGTAAAAAAAGGAGTGGAAGATTAATGAACCTTTGTAAGCGAGGTTGTCTTGAGGAGGAAGAGAAGCTTTTGGGTCGGTGGACAAATCGGTGGAGGCACCTCTGGTCATAGCGTTCCTGGCGTTGGCTTCGGACACCGGAGAGGCACTCGAACTCCACACGAACATGTTCATCTCCTTGTTCTGTCCTCCTCCTCCTCCTCCGCTACCACTTTCCTTTTTCTTGACTCCACTTGCTCCGCTCGTTGACCCCGTGAACATCGGGTTCGGTGGTGGGTACGATGGAACTGAACCATATATATTTTAATATTACATTCTCATGAATACAAAAATAACGTACAAAAACAAATTAAATGATACTTTTCAGAAAATACTACTCCTACAATTTTCTATCATATTTTATTTAGAACTAATGTTTTTAGGTATATGATGAGTTTCTAATAGTTCAGGAAATGATAATAACCCACAAAAAAAAAACATACCATTATTGTTGTTATTTAATTCACCACTAATGTTTTTCCCTCCTCTTGCTCCTTTCTTTGCCTTCAAAACTTCCTCATCAAAATTCGACGTTCTTGGCGTCACTCCTTTAGACGACTGAAGCGAGTAAACATCTCCGCCCGGACCTGATCCAGGACCACCGTAGCTATTGGTGTAGCCATGACGAGGGCTCGGAGCTTTGCTTGCGTTAAACATAGCGTAGAAATCTGTTTGGTTAAAGCTCGAAGCTCTCGGCGTCGGCCCTCGTGAAGATTGAACGGAGTAAATCTCAACACCGGTGAGATTTGAAGCTCGCGGTGTTATCATGGAAGAGTTAAGTCCTCCACCGTGAGATTTATTGAACGATGAGATCACTGATGAGGCGGCGCTTGATCTCCGGACAACCACGTGGAGTTTCCCATCGTCACCTATCTCCGCATCAGTCTAATTATTAAATGAAAACACATATTTTAGGTCATGTGAAGTAAACCGAACCGGGTGCGAACTTTAATTATTTTTTAGGATGCATCTAGTTTAGGTTTAGCCAAAATTATTGTGTATAACTTCAATAAAGCAAAGCAACTCAAAACATGATACTAAAAATAAAAACATAGCTACAATATTTTTTTTTATTTAAAAAAAAAAAATATCTTAATATGAGAAAGGATGGAGTATGTGTGTTTAATTGAAAATGAATAAAAGAAAGACAAAAAACATATATTGTAGATAAGTGGGTTTGATTTCTGATAATGGAACTCAAAACCAAATCAAGATTGTCTATAATTTGACATATTTAACCATATTGGGATTCTAAAACGCCATAGTTGGTAACTATATATCGTCTATAAATGCTACTTTTACATTTCTATATAATAAGTTGAGTTTACTGGTTGCTTTACTTTACGCAACATATAAATAGGAAGGCCATTACTGTGACCATTCATACCTCGAGAGGCTCACGGCCATTGAGAGAGACAACATCAGAGTCAACACGGAAAGAAGTGATGGAACCGGCAGTTTCCGGGAACTGCTCGGAGATGAGAAGCTTAGCGCCACGGAACTCAAACAAGAAGAGCATTAATGTATACCATATGATACTCTGAAGCACCACGACCTGCACCATTAGGTTACCGGAGAAGTCCCCGTACATCGCCCTAAGCAATGGGATTCCCATAACCAAAGTGTTCGGTAGTGTTGATAACGAAAAGAGCGTTATCATCCATTCTAGACTTCCTCTCTTACTAAACGCCTGGAAAATAATCGCCATTATACACATCAACATATATATACAAATAAATATCTTTAAAAGCTATCATCAAACTTCATTAATTACAAACCAAACTATGTATTTGCTTATTATATAACTATAAAATATTTATGCATATAGAGAATATTATTATTAGTATTATATAAGGGACGGGCCTGCCAAAGAAAGAGTGCGGCGAGGATGACGACTTTCTGAAGAGAATCAGCAGCGAGGAAATGGTAGTTCATGGCATAGGGATCATTGGAGGAGATGAAATGGAAAGAGAGAAGAGGAACCGCGAAAACCGCAACGAACCGGTTTATACCGGAGCATTGGCTCGGTGTAAATATTCCCCACCACCGTACCGAACCGTAGGCTAGCATCATAGCTACGTATAGCGGCACCATCGCCGCTAGTACGTCGTACATGTCTTTGCCGGTGATCATTTTGCTTTCTTTTCCGGCGAGTAGACAGAGAAGAGTTTAATTAAGATAGAGAGAGAGTAAGAGGTTTGTGTGGTACAAAGATATTTATTAAGGTGGAAGTGTAGTTCATTGAGACAATATTAATTTAATTTGTTTGTGTTAATTATAGAGTTTTTATAGTAGAATAATGAACTTCGTGTTCAGACAATGAATAATGGAGGTGCTCTAAGATCGTTTGACACTTGAATACCATAATCAAAATATTAACCAAGATTACTTTCGTTTTTTTTTGTGAAGTTGGTCAAAATTGGAGACTAATTAAATTAAATAATAAGAAAAAGTAATAAGTCCAGGATATTTTATGCATGATGTTATTTATTTTTGTTTCGGCAATATGCAAACTTATAGAGTTAATTTAGATAATGTATTCCATGAGATAATCAAAATAATGAACTCATGTATTGTAACTTTTTAATTTATAAATTTTGCTTCTTGAAAATATGGTATTTTTATTTTTATATTCTGCAAGAAGCCATGAAGAAGTTGGGAATCTTGTCTTGGGATGAGGAAGATTGGTTTCCCTTCTGTCTTCGTGGTCTATAAGTATTTCAAGTCAAATGTTCTGGATTTTATATTCACACAAATTTTGTAAGTGTTTCCAAAAAAAAAAAAAGAAAAAAAAAAAAAAGGATCCACTTGTAAAGTGTAAAACCACCTCTCAGTTTTCACACAGAAATTTCATTACATAAGTACTGGTATATGGTAGTAGTACTATAGAGTATTAGATATTTTTAGATGCAATATATAAAAGTTAAATTGATTGTGTGTAAGCTATTGACACGGCGAAGGTTGATCCATGCACATGGTGTTGATGGCATCTAACAACACTTTCTGAGCGATCTGCGGTTCCTGTATAGATCTTATTTTTAACCAGGAAGAAAACAATTGAAGATCTGATTTTTGGTTAGGAAGATATTAATTTAATTTTAGACCGTTGTAGTTTTGTGAAGGGAATTTACATGTTTACTAGTCTAAGATAATGTTTTTTCGTTTGAAATCTTAATGGTTTTATATTGTTATGATCAAGGACATTGGCAATTGGTCCGGATGAATACTTATCATCCTTCCTTCCATATGTTAATTGTCGTATTTTCATATTGCATGATTTGCATCGACGTATTCAACAGGCCGCTTTGATTGGTAAGTTTTCTGAACGTAATTTTTTAAAAATATATCCAAACATCTTTATACTCTAAGCTTATAAAAATCTAATATAAATAGTAAATGAAACCTTTTGAGCAAAACAAAAAATGAAACCTTAGAGAGATTATTAACCTCACAGCCAAAATGGCAAAATCTAGATCTTACCTTATGAAAAAAAGACAAGGTCTTACGTTGTTAAAATCACCTAATAATAATAGAGTACAGATTTTTGACAAAAATGTAGAATTAGCAAAAAGGCATACAAGAGAACAGAAGATAACCAATAATTCTTATTGTACATATCCCAAAATATGGCCTTAACTGGGCTTTTATTCAACGGGAACCTTTTACTGAAGCTAATTTGTCTGAAAGTTCAAACTTTGTTAGCAAAATTATTCTTGGCTACTTCACCATTTTCCACCTGGCTCCGTAAACTCTGCACAAAGGAAACAAAACCAAAACACAATAAGACCCTATTTACAATGCCCATTAGATCATTTTTTAAAAAAATAAGAAAGAACTCTCTCTAATAATAAATCATTTTAAGAAAAAGATGAGAATGTGAATAGTTAAACATCAAATTTGAGGAAAATACATATTCCCAACCTCATTTTGATGTTATATTATTCCGTTTACAAATTGATCATTAAACTTCTACATACTTTAGTTTTTATAAAAAAAATATTAAATATATAAGTTTCATACTTTAACATTATTATTAATACTTTCATTTATACATTATAAATTCTAATAAACCATTTTATATCATATTAAAACTAAACTTATGAATATAAAAAATATTTAGTTTAAAACAATTATTGTTGGGTACAATTTGACAGGAGTGGCGGGTAACTTACAAGTAACTTGTAGAGCACGGTTGCACCACAATGCATTGCTATAATAAACTAAATTTAATTCCCGTTGTAGTAATAATACAAAACAAAAATCGACAGGTACAATTAGGAAAAGATTAAAGCAAAAATTAAGCAAGTTTACGCGTTTCTCGAGTAAGAGTCTGAGGTATAATTAAATCTGTCACATGTTTTTTTTTTGTTTTCTTGTTTAATGGTGGTGAAACCTTTCGTCTGAGACTTGGAGAGTCTCAATGCCTTTCATCGCAGATTCATACTGTTTCCTTGTGGAAGAAGATCTCTTCCCATCAGACGTTGAAACCACCGCAGAGTTTCTTATTCCGTCACCATTACGGCATCTCTGTAGCTCCTCCTCCGCTACTCTCCTCGATGATCCTGCTGACTGTGCAAACAGTGACGCTCTCGGCATCTGTCAACAATGAGAATTAAAACAAAGTCAATAGCTTGAGAGACAAGGAAACAAAGCATTTAAAAAAAAAAAAAAAAACCATTGGGGCTCTAGTAGAGTTGTCAAGAGCTCCAGAGGTTGGTCTCCTTCTTGATGAATCCATAGTTGGTCTCATTCTCTCTTCCTCCCCTTCAAGAAAACAATCAAACAAAGATGAAAAAAAATTTAAACATAAATGCTGGTCGATCCTGGAGTGGAGGCAAACCTGCACTGGTTCCAGCCGCAGGAGTTACGAGGCCACGTGATGGGGGAGCTTTTAGTTGTGATTTTTGGTACTTCAATATGGTCCAGTCAAAGACATAATCCAATTGAAACCCTGCAGTAAAGACAAATGTTGTGTAATTAAAGTGTGTGTGATTTTGGGACAAACATGCATGGAGGGAAAAGATTAAATAAAGAACCTTCACGGACAAAGAGATCACGGAATATCCTTTTGAGATAATTGTAGTCTGGTTTATCCTCAAATCGGAGGGAGCGGCAGTAATGGAAGTAAGATGCGAGTTCAGATGGGTAGCCACGGCATAAAGACTGTAAGGAAAGGCAAGTTTTGTCAAGTAGAAAAGTTTTTAATAATAAAAGGTTTACTCAACACTTTTTTTGTGGGCTGGATGAGAGAGTTTATTACCTCGATTGATGTAGAGACTTTCTTTTCACTGATTCTCTCATACTTTTGCTTCTTGGTTCCAGCTTTAAGTCCTTGCCATGGAAGACTGAAACAAGAAACCACGAGAAAACATTAATCTTATAAGGAATGAAGTAAAAGAATGAGGCTTTGTAGGTAAAGGTAACACTCATCACCTTCCTTTAAGAAAATACATGAGGATGTAACCAAGTGATTCTAAGTCATCCCTTCTGCTTTGTTCTGTATGGTAGAAAAAAGAGGTATTAGTATAAGGACAAGGCATGGAGCATTATAACATGAAAAAGCTTACCAATTCCCAAGTGAGTATTCATACTAGCGTATCTTGCAGTTCCAGTGAGGTTCTTATTTTCTCTACAAGATAGAAAATGATGGGTGAGTTTAGAAAGTTAGAAGAAGGTAGGCTGATTACAATTTGATCGCCTCACCTGTAGGGAATGTGCTGATGAGTAGTGTTATCTCTGTACTTCTTAGCAAGACCAAAGTCGATGATGTATACCTTTTGAAACAAGATATCAATAACTTGGGAAAGTAAACTGAGAAAAACACAAAACATATATGTGAAAAGGAAACCTGGTTTGCACGTCTTCCTAAACCCATGAGGAAATTGTCAGGCTTAAGGTCTCGGTGAAGGAAAGATTTAGAATGGAAATACTCAACACGGGTTATCTGAATATCAAAAACAAAAAACGGAGTGTAAGGAGAAAGGAGTCACATAAAGTGCACCAGAGAGAGTGAGAGAGAGAGATATGTTTACCATTTGATCAGCAAGCATGAGGACTGACTTGAGAGAAAGTTTCCTACTACAGTAATTGAACAAGTCTTCAAGACTAGGCCCAAGTAAATCAATCACTAGCACATTGTACTCGCCTTCAACACCAAACCACTTTACACTTGGAACACCAGCTGCCAATATTTAAAGGTTCATGAGAGACTAAGGATATTGTCATGAAAGAGTTTTTTTTTTTTTTTTTTTTTTTTTGAACAGAGAAT